GGGGGGGGGGTGTTGAACTTGTTCAGTTATTTAAGTGCCTTCCAGTTCCTAGGTTGTAAAATTCTTGGTCAGTCATACTTTCATTTTTCCTTTGAGAAGAAAATACTATACTTGCAATTTCATTTAAGTCAATCAGTGGCATTTAGAAAACACTCACTATACTCTAGGAGACTGCCGTAAATTCCTATTTCTTAAAAATTATTTTTAATTGTAGCAAAATACACATGACATAAAGTTTTCCATCTTAACCATTTTTAAGTATATAGTTCAGTAGTGTTAAATACATTCATCTTGTTATGCAACCATTACCACCTTCCGTCTCCAGAACTCTTTTCATTTTGCAAAACTCAAACTCTAAACCCATTAAACTATAACTGCCCATTCCCACCATTCTGCTTTCAGTCTCAATGAACCTGACTACTCCAGGTACCTCATATAAGTGGAATCATACAATATTTGTCTTTTTGTGACTGGCTTATTTCACTCTGTAAAAGATTTGTCCATGTTGTAGCTAAATAGTATTCCACTGTATGTATGACCATTATTTTCTTTATCCATTCCTCTGTTGATGGACACTTGGGTTGCTTCTACCTTTTAGTTCTTGTGAATAATACTGCTAAATGCTGCTATGATCAAGTGTGTGCAAATATCTCTCTGAAACTCTAACTTTCAATTCTTTGGGGTATATACCCCAAAGTGGAATTGCTGAATAATTTGGTAATTCTATTTTATTTTATTTTCAAAATGTGTTTTTATTGATTTTAGAGAGAGAGGAAAGGAGAGGGAGAGAGAGAAACATCAATGTGAGAGAGAAACTTTGATTGGCTGCCTCCCACACGCACCCTGAAACCTGGGCATGTGACTGGGAATTGAACCAGTGACCCTTCAGTGCATGGATGATGCTCAGCCAACTGAACCACACTGGCCAGGGCGTGATTCTATTTTAAATTTTTCAAAAATATACTAGTCTGTTTTCCACAGTGGTTGTACTTTTTTACACTCCCAACAATGGTGCAATGGGTTCCACTCTCTCCACAGCCTTGCCAACACTGGTTATTTTCTTTTTTTTTAATAATAACTATTGCCTGGGCCAGTGTGGCTCAATTGGTTGAGCGTCATCCCATGCACTGAAAGGTTGTGGGTTCGATTCCTGGTCAGGGCAAATGCCCAGGTTTCCAACTCGATGCCCAGTTGGGGGCGTGCAGGAGGCAACCAATCAATGATGACTCTCTCATCATTGATGTTTCAACTCTCTCCCTCTCCCTTCCTCTCTCTGAAATAAAAAAAGATATATTTTTAGAAATTAAGTTAAATTAAAAAATAACTATCCTAATAGGTGTTAGCTAGAGTGTATTGTAGTTTTGATTTGCATTTCCTTAAAGATTAGTGATATTAAGCATCTGTTCATGTGTTGTTGGTCATTTGTATATCTTCTTTGGAGAAATGTCTATTCAAGTCCTTTGTGCACTTTTTAATTGGGTTGGGTTTTTCATGTTGTTGTTTAGTAGGATTCATCTTTACATCTTCTAGATATTAACTCCTTAGCAGATATATAACTTGCAAATATTTCCTCCCATTTCATGGGTTGCCTTTTCACTCTGTTGTGTCCTTTGATGCACAAAAGTGTTAAATTTTGATGTAGTCCAATTTACCGATTTTTCCCCTTTTTTCCCTAGTTTACCAAAAGCCTGAGCTTTTGGTGTTGTATCCAAGAAATCATTGCCAAATCCAATGTCATAAAGCTTTCCCCCCCATGTTTTCTTCTAAAAGTTGTATAGCTTCAGCTCTTACATTTAGCTCTTCCATGCATTTTGAATTAGCTTTTGTGTGGTGTAAAGATAAGGGTTTAATTTCATTCTTTTCTATGTGGATATCCTGTTTTCCCAATACCATTTGTTGAATAAGACTATTTTTCCCCGTTGAATGGTCTTGGCACCCCTGTCAAATATCATCTGACCATATATGAGAGCATTTTGTGCTCTAAACCTTTGGAGTTAGTGGTACAGAAATGACACGGTCTCTGCGTCAAGGAAGCCTCGGTAGCGCTGAGCGCTCAGATTCTGCTGCAACAGCGTGTCCAGTGCTGGTTGTGTGCTCAGTGAACACTGCGCCCATGTTTCCCCACACTTTTGTCTAAGCTTCCCATCCAACCAGTGAGGTATGTATGTATAATGGTCCTCTTTAACAGAGGACTAAACTCAGTCCCCCCAAAAAGCATAGCTTTTTGCAGGGGCACGAACAGAGTCAGGCCTTGAATCCCAGATGGACCTCGGCGTTCTTATTTCTAAAATGTGGGCAGAAGTGAAATGAGATGGTATCTACTGAGCAGCCTTGCAGCTTGTAGGATCCTTTTCCTTAAGGAGTCACTAAAAGCCAGGGGCCAGGCCTGACCTGACGACGATTAACCTGATTTCTAGGCTGCAGGGAACTGACCCCGCCCGCCTGGAAGGCCGCAGGCCCGGGGCTGGAGCCCCACCCCCGGCCGACCCGAGGCCGTACCCGGAACTTGGGCGCGGCTGGGCTGTGCTACTGGCGCGGGGGCAGCCGGGAAACGGGAAAACGCCTGAGACGAGAATCGCGTTGAAGCAGCCTCACGGTCTCTGCGGAGGGAGAGTTTACAATTCTAATAGTGTTTTTAGGGTTTTGTTTCCTCGCCTCTCTCCCTTTCATTCGCCTTCCGAGGAGTGGTTTCTCCCCGTTGGCCCCTTCGTTGGATTTCCCCTTGGTACACCCCTACCCTGCTTTG